CAAACGAATGGTCATAAATCGACTACAGATAATCCTCAACTTACAACCATATTTGAGACAAAAATTTCCATTACTTAAGCAAGGTGATTGTTAAATGAGTCATACCCAACTTTATGAACTTTTTTCCTAAAATCACTGCAGTTGTTAAATGAATCTAGGTCCTCCCATTGACCTTGTTTCTTAGAAGCTGGCTGGGAAGATAGCAAACGGTGATCACATGACACACACACACACGCACACCCCACCCAGGGTGCTGCAACCATCATAAATACACGCCAATTGCCAAGCTCCCAAATTTTAATCACAGTGGTCTTAAACGTGACTGCAGTGTTCTTAAACGTGAGTACTGATCACAAATCACTTTTTTCAGTGCTGTTGTGACTTCAAATGGTCACTAAACAAATGGTTGTAAGTCAAGGACTACCTTTACCTGTACAAAACTCTTGTGGAATTCCAGAGTGCTAGATCTGAATGTAGTTTGTGTTTAAAGTACTTCATGAATACCAGAAAGAAGTGCAAAAGAACAAAAATGCCTTTTAATGTGAAGAAAGTCGTTAGTCTTTACAAAGTCATTTTGGAAGGCTTTGAAATTCTTTCCAGTTACCAGGACCTTTGGGCTTAAACTTCATTGCTGTGTACAATGCCATGAAGCTGTTAGATTTAGTTGCTGGCGTATCTCTGATTGTACCATGGTTTGGAACAATGCACTTTTCTTTTAGAGATAGTGAGGGCAAGTAAATTCCTGTGTAGACACTTTGGGTTATAGATGTAGGTTTTTGATTCATGTGCTTTGATTACTTCACACAGGGAAATATGGATGGGAGATTATCTAGCAGTACCACATCAGCTTTATTTTCTTAATGGAAATAAGCAAAACCCACAAGAACAGATAACAACAGAGAAAATGCATAACTTAAGAAATTCACTTACGCATAACCAAGAAGTGTAAAATAGGTAATAAAATGGATAGGTCTTATAGATAATAGGTTTTATAGATATAGTTAGCTACTGTAGTTCAGCTCAGTAAGTTTTATATGCTTTATGTGTATAATTTTTATGTTACTGTATCTTAAATTAATCTTATTCATATAGGTATACAAGCCTTACAATCATTCATTTAGTGACTGTTTGAAGTTACAGCAGCGTTGAAAAACTGACTTATAACCAGTTTATACACTTACAACTATTACAGCATGGTCACATGATCAAAATTTGAGTGCTTGGCAACTGGCATGTATTTATGACAATTGCACTGTCCTGGGATCATATGATCCCCATATGATCATATGATGCCCAGTTGACTTCCAACAAGCATAGTTAGTGGAGGAAGCCAGATTTGCTTAATAATCACTGAACAACTGCAGTGATTCGCTTAACAACTGTGGCAAAAGAATCTGTAAAATGGGGCAAAACTGACTTAACACTGCCTTTGTTAAGTCCCGGATGAAAAAACCCAATCAAGCAAAACAGAGTCATTGCGTTCTCTTTTATTGGGCAAGAATCAAACCGGCATAATTGAATTAAAGCTACCTCTGAGGAAATGGCGGGAAGCAGATAATTAAAAGAATAAGACCTTCCCTCCCTGACTGTTCAGGTCACATTGTCCAATACATCTTCTGGTAATTGTTATGAGAAGAACCTTCACCGAAAGCGATAAGAGACACCTGTAGACCCCAAACTCTCCTGAACCCCAACCTCAGTTCTGTTGGCAAGCAAGAAGAACTAAGCAGTCCTAAAGGCAGTAGATTTCGTAGCTTGACAGCCTTGCTTAGCAACAGAAATTTTGAGCTGAATTTAGTTGTAGGTCGAGGACTACCTGTATATATGCAGATATTTTTATATGTATAAATATATACATAGATGTAGATGTAGAGATACAGATACAAATACAGATAGACAGTGTAGATATTAGATATTAATTCTGGAATAAAGAAAAAAACTTTATCACAGTCAGTGACTAATGCAAAATTATTTATATATATATATAAATAATATGAAGTAGAATAAGGTGATCACCAGGATAAAATCATAAACATAAATGTTTAATCTATAAAACCAAGCTTTCGTCGGCCACACTACCGACATCGTCAGGGTATAAAATGCTGGATCCGGGATGACTGGGAGTGGATGAACAGTGGATCTCCAGGCACCCACACACGCACAAAGAAAACAACAGCAATTGGAGAGGAGAGGACAACTTTAGAAACGGCCCCTTTAAGAACTACACAGCCGATGCTAATGGGCGGACCTATGACCCAATCCAGGGTCAAAGCGCAGAGGCAGCCAGGAAAAGATGAGAGGAGAATATCAAGCCCGCAGCCCAACAGGGCAAGAGGGAACAACTGGATGAATATGGAAGAAATGAATGGCCAAAAAAGGGGGGGAAGGAGTAGGACCTTAAGAACTTGCAGTGGGATGATAGATAACAACACACGTACAAAGGGGGAGGGGGGAGGAAGGGAAGCAAGCAACGGAGTAGCAGCTTTGAATAACATCAAGAGAACAACCAATACGCAGTTTGACCAATTAGGACCATCAAGCGGACCGGTAACGAGGTCCAGGAGCCTTGCGCAAAAACTGACCAACACTATAAAAGAGACTCCCATTCATCCATTTTAAGCCCTGACGATGTCGGTAGTTGGCCGACGAAAGCTTGGCATTAGATTAAACTTTTTTAGTTTAAATTTTTCCTGTTGTTCGTGTATATTTTCTATAGACACCTAGCTGACTACTGATGAAAACAGAATGCTAGATTAAAAGCCTTCTTTATTTGATCCAAGAATAAATCTCTTTGAACATTCATTAAACATAAGAAAGCTTGTGTAAGTATGATACTAAAAACTATGGAAGTGGAGTGCAGTTTTTGATCAAATAAAGGGGGCTGAATTGCTAATTGCATTTCTTTTTAGTAATGCTTCATTGAATTTTTTAGCACTATAAACATTAAGTCAAAGAATAATGGAGTTTAAATTTGATCTTTGACATTTATTGTTATTTACCGAAAAGAGAATTTGAGTAATTTCTTTAGACCAAGATTATCTCACATTAGATGACTCAAGCGCTTTGTTGCCTAATTTAAGTGCTTTACGTATTAGTTGATTGAAATAAGTAAGTTAAAAGTAAATATCCTGTTTAACTTTCGTAGAAAATAAAGAAGATGAAAGCATTCAACAGGAAACAATGTCTTCAGCTATAGTGGAGTTTTTCTGTTTAAATAAGCCTGTCTTTTCTACTGTTTACATATTTTAGTTACTCCCTAGTTGAAGGAGTTGGCTAATTGTAAGACTGGAGACTGGAATGGGTTTTTTTGTTGTTGTTCTTGGTCAAACAACTTTGTAAAATTAGAGGGGAGACATTTTAAAAACTGCCAAATTTGTCTTGGCAGAGATAACCTAGTTGGATGTACATGCTATCAGGACTAATCATTTTTTAAAAAAACACCTAGTTTTTCTCTGGGGAAAAAGCAACACAATCCTTTTAGCCAATAAATTGGCTTTCTGAGTTCAGTAATACCTTCCTCAGTCTTCAACAAGTTAACTTAAAGTTGTCAAAAGAAATACTTTTATCTAGATTTGCATTTAAACGTCTATCTAGAATGTTTTTATGCCTTTTTGTTTGCACCAATCCTCATCAGCTATTCCAGACGTCTTTTGTGCTGGAAATCTGATTGATAGAAATCCAGGCTGATAGGAATGTAGAGTTTCTTGGTAATAAATTGTTTTCTGAACTCCTTTGTGTTGATTGTAGACCTGGGTCTTTCTCTAATTACCACCCTGTTAAGAAAGAGTTGCTGTTGGCTGTTGTTGTTGTTATTGTTGTTGTTGTTGTTGCAGAGGGAGATATGAGGATATGGAAGAATGAGGTGGAAGGCTAAGCAAGCAAATATATTTCATGTAGAGCAATCTGCTGAAAGGAAGAATGTTTTGGTCTGGCTGAAATTATTTCTCTCATGATACTGAAACCAGCATATATCTTTAAAAAAAAAGCAGCACCAATTAGGTCAAAATATTCAACTTAATGTGTAGATATGTACTAAATGAAGCACCTTCCTAATGCTGGAGGACATTGGTGAAACATAGGGTACAAACAGTGGGCATTTCAGCTTGCACAGTTGGATATGAGCAGAATTGGAGAGGCCCTTTAGGAGTTTGGAATGTACTTAAGGGAGATAGTAGAACAGATTCTGAGGATCAGTTGCTAACTGTAGAAATCATAAGTCAGGAAATGAACTGGAAGCCTGACAATTTCCTTTCTTAAAGCAGCTGCAGATCTTTTATGTAAGGTAGAGTAAAATCATTGCAGAAAGCAGCAGAATATTATTGGAAAATGTTATAAATAAATAATAAATAGGGACATCTCTATTTATTTATCAAATAGAGATTTATTGTAATGACAGTAGTATTCAGTAATATGCAGCAGTGCCACACAAATTCCTATATTCATGCTAGTTAAAGTCATTTCTAAATATTCAGAAAAAAAGACTATTGCTTCAAATAATCTAGAAAAATTTTTTAAGAAGGAGAGTGAATACATATGGGAATATATATTCAATATGCCTATTATAAATTCAACAAGTCTGCTTAATAGTTCTGTGAAAGTTTATTGAATTAAGTTGTGGAAACATCATTTGATAAGCCAAGATGGCTTTAAGTACATATATGTCCCCAATTGATGGGGAGAGTTTGTTCAAATTTTTCAACCTGCTTACTTATGTGAAATGCTATAGAAACACAAGAGAATGTAACAGAATCATAAGAACTGGAGATAGCAGTGACTGCAAATCTGTTGGTTGGATTTTGTCTACTGGAGTCAACAAGTGAAAGTCATTTTCAAAAAGAAATTCAGCTTTGTGCATTCATTTATAGTAAGAAAGTATAATTGCAGAGAGAGAAGATTTAATAAGCTGGAAGAATTTACACCTTACTGTTGATTTATATGGAGTAAATTTGCAGAAAGTTGCTTTCATTTTCTTGATTTTTTGTTTGTTTGTTTTTTTGAAGGTACGGACACTCTTTGTCAGTGGTCTGCCCCTGGATATCAAACCTCGAGAGCTCTATCTCTTGTTCAGGCCATTCAAGGTACTTTCTTTGACTACCAACCTTGGAAGAAAAAACTGAGACCAAGAGTCAGTGTGCTTATTTATAGAAACATTGTGATTTGTGTTGTTATTATAAATTTCCACACTAATGTCTGACGGGTTCTCCTGCAGGAGAATACAATGTTCCTGGTATCTGGATTTTAAAAAGTTTGGAATACAGTTAATTGTAATATCTTATTTCAGTTGAAAACTTGGCTAGAAGGACTTTCAAAGAGACTGAAAGTTGGCCAAACGCTCCCCCCTCAAAATGACTATAAATATTAACAGTGGTGTGAGGAAGGCTCCAAGTTACACATATGAGCCTCTACCAATGATAAAGATTAGGTAGAGTTCATAATGTCTGTAAATGACATGTCACATATTTTATGTGCTACCATATATTCTTTAAAGGTATGTGCATATTCTACTGGTTTTTTATTTTCTAATACCAGCAACTGAAACATACAAATCAAACACGATTTTTGGTGTGTTCTGGGCTGATAAATCTCATTTTCATTTATAAAAAGCATAATATTAGCCTATATATGTATAAAACCCATCTTTCTTGATAATGACATCTTTTAATCCACTTCATTACATTTCCCTACCCACCCCCTTTCAAGTGGGTGTCATGGGAAAAAATTCTTTTTTGTGTCATTTCTGTTTGACATCTTCATAATACGCATACTATTATGACTGTGCAAAGCATTTGAAAGAGGTGTTTCACCAAATGTGCTAGAAACAACAAAGCACCTCTCTTTGAAATGTTAAAACTGCCAGATCCTTTGCAAGCCTTTTTTACCTTGCAGAAGACTTGGCTTCTTTAACACTTCACAGGGAAGTGCTTTGCTTATGCTCCCCTGCTTTGCCAAACATCTCTTTTGAATGCTTTGCAAATCCCTAATACATATCCCATTAGCAGTTTCTTAATACTTGAGGTATCTTCCATTGTATCTTCCACATGGTACTTTCTAAACCATTTTTACAAGTTTGCCTCAGGAAAGATGGAAATTAACAATCTCTATTAATGGGAAGCCCCATTTTTTTCCTGTAGTAGCATTGCTTGCCAACTTTTTAAAAAAAAACATGGGTGCCCTTGTTACCTCATCTATTAACCCTAGTACTCATCCTCAGCTCAGGCTTAGGAACCAGGACACTAAGTTCTAGCTTTGGGCATGAAAGCTGACTGGGTAACTTTCAGCCAGTCACTTTCTCTCAGCCTAACACACCTCACTGGGTTGTTGTGCAAAAAATAGGAGAAGGAAAGAATGTTAGGTATGTTTGCTGGCTTGCGCTATTTATAAAGTAATAAAGGTAAGATAAATTTAATAATAAATATTGGTATTCTTAGCAGACAGCCTTTTTATTAAGGCTTGAAAACAGAATCAGACTTGCAAGATTCTGTTAATAACTTTAATAACACTTTAACACTCTAATACCAATAAAGTAGAACAGTTTCATCGGGTGTCTGGACTACCTCATAAGGTGAAATGTGTGTTGTAAATCTGACAGTACATTTCTCCTTGTCACCTTTACAGCTCAAAACACTAGAGAGGATCCCTTCTGACACATTTGCCATGCCCTCATTCCTTCTGTGGGCTAAGCTGTGTCTTATCTGATCATTCTTCTGGCTCTAGCTTCCCCCTTGTCTCTCAAGGTCATTCCCACATACCTTTACACTTGGGGATAATTTGCAACACCAGTGAATTACATTAGATTGTTTCAACAAAGAATTCTATCATAGAATCTTTCTTCACAGAGAGAAGGGGTAAAGGGAAAGGCTACCCAGATAGCTGTCGAAATGCAGAAGAATTGGCAGTTCGCTTGTGCCCTTAGCCTCATTGTAGCTGTTTTATTATCAGTGTTTGCAATATGTGTATGTATGTCTGTGATTCCTTAGGTACTTTTAATAATAATAATAATAATAATAATAATAATAATAATAATAATAATAATAATAATAATAATAATTAATAATTAATAATAATAATAAAGTTGGAAGGGACCTTGGAGATCATCGGGTCCAAGTGGACAGCAGTAAAATTGCCCAACTGATCATACCTAATAATGGTGAAATAGTGGCTTGACTTCACAAGGGAGCTATCAGACATGGCAAAGGAGTTGTTTACACCAGCGGGCAAACCTTTGCCCTAGATCTAGAAAGAAAAGACTGCAAAACTCTCTACACAGAATGTCTTCTGGAATGGAACTGAATCAATAGTTAATTGCCAAGTCCACAGTATGGAGAGAACCCAGAGCAGCAACAGTTTCAGAGCAGTAGAGTCCTTGCATTATAGAATAGTCCTGAATACATGAGCATGTTGCAGTGCAAATTCCTGTGCACTGCATCATGATGTAAGTACAAAATGGTGGAGTTCATGACAGCATGGCACACATGATGTCGTTTTGGCACGTTTTAGGTCAGGGGTGTCAAACTCAATTTCATTGAGGGCCACATCAGCACTGCGGTTGCCCTCGGGGGGGCGGGGGTGTGTGGCCAGGGTGGGTGTGGCCTACTGGGTGGGTGTGGATGGAGTGGGTGTGGCCTATTGGGTGGGCATGGCCAGCTCTACATCATTCACATCAAGATTGCCTGTGGGGGCCTAGGCAGGAGTGGGACAGATCTGAGGGTCTCTGGCAGAAGGGGGTGGGACCGGGGCAACTGCCAAGGGATGGTCCATTGGAGGAGCCTCACTGCCTGCTGAAACCCCTCCGCCGGAGCCCATCAAGCCGGATATGTGAAGTAGGCGAGGGCCATTTGCTGGCCACTTCCAGGCGATGGTGCATTTCTTCATTCCTCACAAAGGGTGACACCTCCCTAGCATGCACCCAGGGGGCGGGGCCGACACAGCAGGGGCTGGTTCCTCGCTGTTTCCAGACAGCCTTGTGGAGCTAACACTGAATGCGTTTCAGCATAGATGGCCACCACAAAATTGTACATTGGCTCCTGGCTGGCCTGGGCCAGGGCCAAGGCAGGAGGGCCCGTTCCCTCACTGTTTCCAGGATGGCTTCGCAGGCCACTTGAAACCACTTCATGGGCCGCATCCGGCCCCCGGGCCTTGTGTTTGACATGTCTGTTTTAGTTGTTAGGAAGGGATGCCCATTTTAAGCACTATGGTATAATAACTTTTCCAAAGCGCCTGAAGGCAGGACAAGGAGCAACGGGTGGAAGCTAACCAAAGAGAGAAGCAACCTAGAACTAAGGAGAAACTTCCTGACGGTTAGAACAATTAACCAGTGGAACAACCTGCCTCCAGAAGCGGTGAATTCTCCAACACTGGAAGTTTTTAAGAAGAAACTGGACAGCCATTTGTCCGAAATGGTATAGGGTTTCCTGCCTGAGCAGGGGGTTGGACTAGATGACCTCCAAGGTCCCTTCCAATTTTATCATTATTATTATTATTATTAACTTATTTATGTTACTCCAAAGCAAACATATCAATGGAGATTCTCAATCATCCCAAAAGACAACTGGATTTTCTTGTTATTTTTCTTTGAAAATGTTTCCCTTCTCATCCAAAAAGACCTAAAGAATCTTCTTGGATGAAAAGGAAAACTTTTTCAAAGAAAAAAACCCCAAGAATGTCCAGTTGTCTTTTGGAAAAAGTACCTTTGGGATAAACTTGATCTTGCTTGAAGGATTTTTTTTCTCTATACTTTACTCAAAATACAGTACAGATAATCCTCACTCATTCAGCAATTGTTCAAAGTTATGATGGTGCTGAAAAAGGAGACTTATGACAGGTTTTCAAATTGCAACTGTTGCGCCCCCTCAGTCGTGGTGATTTGGTGATTTGGGCACCTGGCAGCTGGCATGCATTTATAAAGATCGTAGCGCTCTGCAATCCTGTGATTTGCCATTTGTGAGCTTCACAGGCAGCTTCTGACAAGCGAAGCCAATGAGGAAGCCAGCAGGAAGTCAAAACTTGCAATCACATGATGTCACACTTAATAACGCACAGTGATCCACTTAATGTGACCCTGGCTGGAACTGCCAAATTGTCATCAGATGTGATCACATTGGGCACAATCATGTCATTTTTCACTTTACAACTCTGCACTTAGTAACAATCCCAGTTGCAGTCAGTAAGTGAGAAGTATCTGTAGTTTCAACAATAATGAATACTTTTAAGTAATGGTATATAATTTTAATAGTTTAACTCATTTTTTTATCCTAATATTGAATACGAAGTTATTAATCAGTTGCCTGCCTTAAGGCCTTATGAAATAATTAGCTCTTTTTATGAATTATTGTAGCTGCTCTTTTAAAATAAAGCCAAGAATGCTGTATATTACTGTGTGACAAAGTGTTGATATATTTAAATGTGCAGATCTAAAGAACTTGTATATTATCTTGTACATATATCGTTTTTATTTTTCTCTCTAGGGGTATGAAGGTTCTCTTATTAAACTCACTTCAAAGCAGGTAAGGCTAACATTGAACAAATGCATCATCATAAACATCATAGCAAGTTATTAAGATGCAGTAGATTATAAACAGTAAAGTTGGTATGAAATTTTGGCACAGAGGTTTACATATCAGTGACAAAAGTCACTGAAAATAATCAAAATAACTGAACTCACTATTTTAACCCATTACTGTCTTTCTAGTTGATTTAGTATTAGTAAGAGCTAAAGATGTATTAGAGATGTATGTTAGATGTACTTGAACAATTAAAATTGTGTCCTGCCCGCTGCCCATCTTCAAAATGTGACCACTGACATACAGAAGGTATGATTGTGATTATGTTATGTATGCAAACCTCACTTTTTTAAAATATAATTTTATTGAAGACATTTTTAACAAGATAAAAAATACAGACATATTAGAAAAGAAACAAAATAAGAAAGAAAATAGAAAGAGAAATACAAATAGAACAGAAAAAAGCAGGGGGGAAAGAAAAAGTGACTTCCCATCTTTTTGACAGCAGTTATAAATGCATTTATATTCCACCCTCTGTCTCTAAGGCTACATCATAATTTCCTTCTTTCCATAAGCTACCTTTTCTAATCTTCAAACCAATAAATCACAAGCTTTTTTCCTCTTTTTTCAGCAAGAAGTCCATAAAGAATTTCCAATCACTGATAAATGTAGTTGTTGACCTTTAATCAAACAAGCTAATTTTATCATTTCTACTAGTTCTGTCATCTTCACCAACCATTCCTCCATGGTGGGCATGTCAGAGTCTTTCCATTTTTGCACATATAATAGTATTGTAGCCATAATCATATATAAAAATAATCTTCCTTGTATCCTTTCTAATTGACTGTCCACTAATCCCAGCAAGAAAAGTTCTGGTTTTAGCTGAATATTGATCTTTAAAATTTGTTGTATCATTGCATGTATTTGAACCCAGAAATTTCTGGCTTTTTTACAAGTCCACTAGGCATGATAAAAATGATACATGTTGTTCAACATGCATTTAAAGTACCTTTCTACATTCTAGATCATTTTTCTGGAGTCATATACCAAGGTTACATCATTTTATCAAAAATATATTTTAGCTTACAACATAATGTAAATTTCAGTCCTTTTAACCATGTATTTTCCTATGGTTCCATCAGTGCATTGTGTCTAAAGTTCTTAGCCCGTTTTATCATAGTCTATCGCTTGTTCTTTTTCCATTTGTAAATTTCAGCTAAATTACATTTTAGCAATTACATGTTCATCATTTGTACATAGTTAAACTTCATAATCTGTCCTCTGTTGTCAATTCCAAATGTCATATTATCTACTTTAAATCTTTCTCTTAACTGTGCATGCAAAAAACATTAAAAACTAAATCCCTCTTTGGAGTCAATTGCTCTTTTGAGTTCATCTTATACTCTCCACGTTCCTGTTATAACAGCTCTTAATAAGTTAACCATTTTTCTCTATCTACTGTTTCTTTCCTGTAAAACGCTTCTTATGCTGAGACCCATAAAGCCATTTTCAGGCAAAGCCTGGATTTATATCTATTTCATAGTCTCGTTATGGCATTTCTAATATAATAATTCTCAAAATCTACATTAACCTTAACTTTTATCATACCATAAAAAAGCATACCATCCAAAGCTCAAATCGTGCTTTTCTAATTCTAAAATTCTCTTATTTCTTAGCAAAATCCATTCTTCATCCTGACTAAGCAGCAGGCTACAAAATGTAATTTCAAATCAGGCAGTCCCGTCGTCGTTCCTTTGCATGTCGAAATATTTTATATTTAATTCTTTTTTTTTCGTTGTCATAAAAACTTAGTTATATCTTTTTGTCATTGTTTAAATAGCAATCAATTTTCATAATAGATACTATTTGAAACAGAAAACATTATTCTTAAGCAAAATGTTCATTTTTATCATATAAATTCTCCCCAAAATGACAAATCTTATCATGTCCTTAATTTCATTTCATGTCTTACGAGAATTATTCTCCTATTACATTCATGTTTCGTATTCAAGTAATTCACTTTTTCTTATTCTTAAAACCGTCTTTTCCCATCAGTTCCATTTGTTTTTCCAATTTCATATTCTTTGTTAACATCTTTGTCTTTTATTTATTTTAAAATCAGCTAACACCCCAAGTGCTTTAGTTTTTCTATAAATAGTTCTGCTCCTTTCAGGAGATTTTCCAAAATTATCAGCAGGTCATCAGCAAATGCTAATAATTTATGTCTTTTTCTTTTAATCTTCATTCCAGCATTTCTCTCATCTCATCTTATCTCTGTTCAATACTTCCAAAGCTAAAATAAATAGCAATGGTGACAAGGAGCATTCTTGTTTAGTCCCTTTCTGTAACTCACAAGTTTTGTCAATTCACAATTAACTGTACCTTTTGTGGGATATAAATTTTACCCATTTGATAAAATTATCTCTGAAGTCCATATATTCCAAAATTTTAAACAAAAGTATCTAATTCAAAATTGTCAGAGGACTTTCTGCATAAAAAAACCCAATGCTGTTTACTTTTCATTATGTTATTGTAAGTATTCCAAAATATCCTATATGTTCCTAATATTGTCCCTCAGCTTTTAGGTGAAGATCCAAACTGATTATAGTTGTGTAAAATCATCTTCATTTTCTCAGCTGAAATCATCATACATAATAGCACTGATGACATTTCTTCTGTTAATATAATATTTCTATGTTTTAATTTTAATATTTTAATATTTTTCTCATGTTCCTCAATTTATATGCCAACCATTTCCCCAATTTGCAAGTTCAAAATTTTTTTTTGCATAATTTATTTTTACTTCCATTTCTCTTACTATTAACAAAAACCACTGCTGTTGTAAAAGTTTAATTTGGAGTTAAATAATTTTTTTGGGGGGGATTGCTTTAATTCTTTCATTTTTATCTGACCTAAAATCACGTTTTCTTGTCTCATTTTTTAAGTTTACTATTATGCTGTATAAAATATCCCTTCATAAAAACTGTACTTGCATCCCAAACGATTCTTAAGTCTCTACCTTTATTAAAATTACTGTAAAAACGCCTTTAACTTCTGTTTACAATTTTTCATTACTGTTTCTTTCTGCAGTAATGTTTACTTTCCATCTGAAAGATGGATAGTTTTCCTTTTAAATAGTAAAGTCACTGTATTGTGGTCTGAAAATATCTTTGGCGGTATATCCACACCAGTAGCCAAATTCTTGGATATCCAAAACGTATTAATTCTTGAGAAAGATCTATGTCTTTCAGAATAATAAGTGTATTCTTTTGCATCACTATTTTTGTATCTTCATGCACTTACAAGCTCTAGATTATTCATCATGTAAAAACAAGTTTTTGATAATTTATCTTGTGCTGCTTTAATAACTTTCTCAGAGGTACTGTCCTGCGGTGGATAAATGTCATGCCCAAAGAACCAGTAACACTTCCTAATTTCAAAACACTGAAAAGTTTATTATTGCTACCTATACACAAGAATCAATCGATCGATCAGAATAGAGCTGGAAGGGACCTTGGAGGTCTTCTAGTCCAGCCCCCTGCTCAAGCAGGAGTCCCTATGTCATTTCAGACAAGTGGCTGTCCAGTCTCTTCTTAAAAACCTCCAGTGATGAAGCACCCACAACTTCTGAAGGCAAGCCGTTCCACAGGTTGATTATCCTCACTGTTAGGAAGTTTCTCCTTAATTTCAGGTTGCTTCTCTCCTTGATTCGGTTCCATCCGTTGTTTCTTGTCTTGCTTTCTGGTGCTGGTCTAACAGTCAAATCTAAAGGTCAAGGCTAATTTGGTGGTAAATAAGGGTGAAAGGAATTCATGGGGAGCTGGACTTGGATCCCTCGTGGCTGTGCAAATTCATGATATGTCTAACCCTGCCTTCTAGCTCAGACTGTTGATCTCCTACAACAAATTACTCCATTCCAATTTCCCTTAAATACCAATTTTCATATTGGTTAGTTTGTTCATAACTTCTTGGTAAAAATTTACCTTATCCTCATTTGGAGCATAAATTTCCATGATCAAAGACTTGACTCCATGGAAATCATTTCCAATCCCACATATCTACCCTACATATTGCCCAATTGTTTTTATAGTTTTTATACTGTAAGCCACCCAGAGTCATTGGCTGAGACAGATGGCTATAGAAATTGAACAAATAAACACATACCTAATATCAGTCAATATCAGTTCAGGTTTTAATTGGGGTTTACACATAAAACAATCCATTTCTCTTTTTAATTCTGACTAAAATACATTTTTGCAGATAAAATATTTTATATCCTTTTTTCTGATACGCATTTCTTAAAGACAAACTACCTTGTTTGAATTTTTTGAGATGACTTTCTTCCTTTTTGAGGAGCATTTGCTCCATTTATATTTCACACTAGACTTAAAATTGACGTTTATACCAAAAACTTAGAAAACGCATTACCTGCCATTACCTAATGTTGCCTCTTCCTCAGTTTTTTTCGTTTTAGCTCTTTAAGGTCCAGAGTGTTGGCGTTCTTTGTCATTTCCATTTGCATTTCTTCCAGTTCATCTTTAAACTTTCCTAGAAAGTCTCTTGCTTTTTGGACTGAGTTCAGACTGAACCCCTATTGTTTAAAAGTGAAACTGTCTGTGCTTCTAGCAGCAGCTGCCAGGAGAAACCTAGGACTGCAGATTTTCTTCTTATAGTTTAATTCCATGAAAGGGACAGACGGCAGTGGAATGTATACAGTGTAGGAATTTGCTGCTGCTGCTATGATTTTAAAAAAGGATAAAGACCTTTAGGGTTGTTCATTTGATAGCTAATCCAAATTTTAAAGAAATAGATAATTTGACATTATTGGCCAATAAAACCCAAATCTTTATTTCTAATATTTAGGTATAAAAACAGAATAGCTGAATCTTGATTATTTTCTCCAACTGTATTTACTCTCCACCGGGACAAGTCTCTCAGTATGACACATTTAGGGAAGGATAAATATTTATATTATCTAAGGCCATTCTTCATAGCCAGTGTCCTAGAATACTTAAAAATATAATTTCAGATTTTTGTCTAAAAATCTTTATAAGAAACCTAGCCTAAATATTTTGATTGTTTTTCACTTGTTAGGTTAAATCTGTTTAAATACTATGAAAGTAAAATGTTTGATAAAAGCAAGAACAGAAGTAAGATTGGTTCTGTAATTTCTGCTAAATTAAGTGCTCTTGTACAAATATTTCCTTGCTTTAATGTTTTTATTGATGAATTAGTCTAACACAACACTCCTGTCTTAATTCTTGGTAAATGCAGATTGTAGATGAAGCATTTTGAAATAATTAAGTAATCACTTCTTCCTTTGAATTTGTTTAATTTGCTTTTGTTTTCATATTCTGATTCTTTTGATATTGGATAAATGATTTTCCACAGATGGGAAATTTCACAGTCTTTAAGATTCATTTTGGAGGCATGATCCCCTAAAGTTTCCAAGAATGTGAAATAAATAAAATTAACCATGGTCTTTTAAAATTGTTACTTAATATGTAGAATGTAACATTGAATAGAATTGTCCAAAATATTTATTTTTAAATATGTCAAGTATGAAATGTTGAGAAAACTGTTGTCTTGAATGTGAAATTCAAGATGCTTTGAGCATTTTAGGAGAAGCTTGAGCTTGAAACAAGAGGAATTCCAAGTTCAAGACAGTGACTTTCAAAACTGAAATGCTTCCAAAATGCTTGGAAAGTCCCATCCGGCATTTGACAAGGGATATTTTATGAAATTTCACGCTGAAAAAATGAGAAATGAAATGTTTGGACATTCCTAGAACAGAACAAAGTTTAATCAACAAAAATCAATTCCACCTTATGAACTAAAGATACTAAAAACAATGTAATTGTGTTTAATTTGGGCTATCATCAAAATTTCGAATGAGGGTTTTCTACTTAATTTTTGAATTAAAAGTAGCAAATGAAGTCATGGATAATTCTGACTGTTAACACTCCAGAAACATTCTAATTTTTCTCTTCTTTCAGCCTGTAGGTTTCGTTAGCTTTGATAGTCGCTCAGAAGCAGAAGCTGCTAAGAATGCCTTGAATGTAAGTAATAATAATAATAATAATAATAATAATAATAATAATAATAATAATAATAATAATAATAATAATAAAGTTGGAAGGGACCTTGGAGGTCATCTAGTCCAACCCCCTGCTCAGGCAGGAAACTATTAATCTCAAGTGGCTGGGTTGCTTTCTAAGTGTGGTTAAATACATAAGTACATACAGGGAAGAGGCACTGGACTATATTAAAATGGAGCTCTATTGCCAACAGAGTCATGTACTACAATTCAAATGGGAATTTGAATTGAAATTTCAAATGGGATTGTTCCTTTGAATACTTACAAAAATGCCCTTGCATGTAGAAATGTCCAACTAGCAGAATAGAATTGGAACCAAAGGGGAGATAGTATATAGCAGGGGTAGGCAACCTTGGCTCTTTTATGACTTGTGGACTTCAACTCCCAGAATTCCTGAGCCAGCCATGCTGAGGGGAAAGGCATCTGAAAGGCACTAGGTAGCCATGCTGGCTCAGGAATTCTGGGAGTTGAAGTCCACGAGTCATAAAAGAGCCAAGGTTGACTACCCCTGGTATAGAGTTATACAATGTGCTATATATACAGGACTGACTTATATCTCGGTGCTATACTTTATCTGTCAATTATCCATGGAATAAATCAAATAATTTTGAGCTGCCAAATGCAGTGATGGTTGATTATGGGTCACCAAGTTGTCAACTCTTAGTGACATATAGATAAACTTATAAATAGACAGGATGAGCTGTCTGGTCTTTCATGCTTTCCCACAGGACACTTCCATGACGGTAATCAAGTTCATCCAGCTCACTTCTGTTTTTTAATTTATTATCTTTTTTATTTATTTATATTTCCTATTTCTAAACTGCCCATCTCCCTTGGAGATTGATTGTCCTGCTCTTCTGTTTTCTTCTATCTTTCTCAGCATTACGGCTTGTTTGTTTATTTAAATTTATTTCTCAAGGGAGCTGTGTTTTACATAAAATGTCAAAATATGATAATTTGAGCTGGTTCACTCACACCTTTTTTCATTTTTTGTTTTCTTAGTTTTTCATAGTCATCTTGGTAATCTTTCCCAACACCATAGTTCAAAAGTCTGAATGCACTTTTTTTTTAACATACCATAATTTAACTTCCCTAAGCCATCACAAGAAAAGCCATTCCTTGCACAATACTTGTCTCTGTAAGTGTAGACATATTGTAGCATCTGAATATCTTTTCGAAGGTCTTCATTACCAGCCTGATGATGATGATGATGATGATGATGGTGATGATGGTGATGATGATGATAATATCTATTCAGACAAGTCCAATTCTTGGCGATTTTGTGGGCCAAGTCTCTCCATATCTTCCGTTCTTGCACTGTTCCTTTGAATTTTTCTATGCTCTGGCTTTGATGGTGATTACCAGTCTATTAAGTGCTAATCTGCAAAATATTTCTTGATTGATGATTCCTTTTCTATGTAGTTGATCTTACATAGAAAGCTATCAACAGTTTCAGTATCTTCAATGTTGCTGGTTGTTGTACTTGTTATCATTAGTTTGGTCCTCTTTATATTTAATTGTAATTCCATTGACAGTCCTTGACTGTCCTTAGTAGAGCTTCCAGATTATTTGCATACTCAGCTATCAAAGTACCATTGTTAGCATAAACCAGGTTATTAATTTTCTTCCTCTAATTTTAAAACCACACACATTTTCTTCAAAACCAAATTTTCTCAATATTCAATTTTGCATATAGGTTGAATAAATGACAGGATAGACAACTTTGTCTCACACCTGGAGCCAGTCTGTTTTATCATGTTCTGTCTGTTCTGTGCTTTCTTGATCTATGTATTGGTTCTGCACTGGATAATATGGGATTCCCATTTTTCTAACCCCCTTCTACAGCTTGACATGATCAACATAATCAAAAGCCTTTCTATAATCAAGGAAGTACATGATGACTTCTTTTTAGTATTCTTTGGCTTGTTTTGTTATGTAGCAACAATATCTCTTATTTCTTGGCCTTTTCTAAAATTAGCATGAACTCTGGCATTTTCCTTTCCATGTGCAGTTTTTCAATCTATGTTGGATAATTCTAAGCAATGCTTTGTTAGCAAGTAAAATTAGGAATATTGTGCAATTGTATGCATACTCTGTTAAGTCGCCTTTCTTTGATATTTATATGTAGGCTAATTCAATCTGTTGACCAAGTGTCATTCTCCAGATTTGTTGGCATAGGATGGTAAGAATTTCACTGGTTCTTGTTCCATTGCTTGCCATATTTCTGTAAATGTTTCATTAACTCCTGTTGCTTACCAACTTGATAATAACTGGAACACTAATGTAACTTCATCTTCTACTATTAGAGGTTCTTGTAAATAGGGAGTATCTTCTAAGGTATCTTGAACGTTGACATCTCTACTGTAAAGAATTTCCTATTTTTGTTTGATCTTCTTTGAGTTACTTGCTATTTGTTTATTAGCATCCTTTAGCATATCAATTTGAGCTTGGAACCTCTTTCTAAGTATGAGATCTTTTAGAAAATTTTCCTTGTTTTTCTGTATCTGTTTCCATATTTGATGTTTTCACAGATGTCATTGTCTTGCCTCTTCTAACAGTTCTCTGAAATTCTTTGATAAGTTCTTTCTTGAAATCGTTTTTTTCCCCCTTGGCTTTGGCTTCTCCTCTTCATGGCAATTTCCACCATCTGTTTGTACATCCACTTTGCTTTCTTCTTGTTTTATGGTCTTTGCTGTAAGTTTTCACGTTCATCCTTAATAACATCTTTGATATAATTCCACAATTCTTCTGGTTCCCTATCAATGAAGTTCTGTACTTCAATGCGATTCCTGCACAAGATGTGTCATTGAAACTGGTTGGCTTTGTTCCTCCATTTTAGCCAGACTTGGATCTTGCTCATGGGCAGTTGTGATTTGTTTCATAGTAAGTCTCTGGCCACATCTTTACCGTTATAACAGACTCTTCCTCTATATTACTTGGACCAGTAATATAGTCAGTCTAATATTTGTATATACCACCTGGTGATGTATATAGCATTGGTTGTTTGAAGATTGTGTTAGCAATGAAGATTGTATTAGCAATGGAGAAATCGTTGGATTGCTCATTGCTTCATTTCTGTTTCCTTGGCGATATGGTCCAACTATGGGTTTTCTTCTTTATTTCTAACTTCTACATTCCAACCTATAAGAACAAGCTATATGACTTGCTTATTTGTTCTACCAATTTCAGATTGACCTTAATTATTCAACTCATCAACTTCTGCATCAGTAGTTGGAGCATAAACTTGGGTAACCATCATATTAAATAGTTGTCTGCAAAGTCTAATTGATATTATTTGGTCATTTACTGCATTATACCCAAGTAAGATCCTTGCTATATTTTTTTCTGACTATGAGAGCAACACTATTTCTTTTTTGTTTTTGATGTTCTGATTAGTAAGTAATTACGATTTTCTGAATGGAAGTATCCAATTCCACTATATTTTAATTCTCTGATACCTGAGTTTTCAATGTGCAGTTGATTCATTTCAGTTTTTGCTATGTTTTGTTTTCCCATGTTCATGCTTCTTATACTCCCATGTTCCATGAAGATTCTGTTTTTGCCACTACAGAATCTCCCTGTCTGCATTTCAACATCAACAACTCAGCATCCTGAGGGCTTTTATGAACTTGCAGCATAAAAACCATTAGTACTTTGAAAGCTCCTCAGTTTTCCTCCACAGCATGTTGAGTGCCATTTAACCTGAAGGGCCCATCATCTGATACCATGTTATCAATTATTTTATATTATCTATCCATATGGTTTTCTTGGTAAAACACAAGAGTGATTTACCATTGCCATCTTTTGCACTGTATGAAATGATATTTTTGCCATTGTTTCTAAGGGGATGAGCTACTCCAATATCTTCCTATACTGCTTCCTATTTCCTTTAACTGAGCAGCTAAGTTGAACTTCATGTTTTGTGTGACTCTCTTGGAAGTGTATGCTTTTGGTGTATACTCCAAGAATTCTTTATTCACCCTTCTGAGCAACATCCCCTGTCATGATACAGCAAGATAGCTGGAATCCAGGAGGAAAGATGCAGTGGAGAACATACAGTTCAAACACTATTGTGATATGCAGAGAATGGAAGAGCAATGACCTTCGTTTCTGCCTGTATAAATAAATAACATTTATTTCCAAAGAGGGTAGAGGGCAGGGATATTTTTGAGAAATCAACAGCATTAAAATGACAAGCATGACTGGGCAATTGAAGCCCCACCTTTTTAATGGGCATAGCAAAACAGTATATAAAGTGAGAACTGGCCACTTTTAAATTCTGCCTGTATTCCCAACAGGCAGTTTAACACAGGTATGTTTATTGATGGAAGACACGATGTTAGTCATTAACTCGGATGGTTAAGTAATCACAAGCTCAGTTATTAAGAGCTATTGTTGAACATTTCTTGCCATACACTCCATCTACTCCAAACAAAAGACCAGTCTAAGGTTTCTTAATAGCTCCATTTAGGTGAAGGTTGCATACGGTCCTAATCATACCATCAGTGGTTAGCAACTCTGTAAAAGCATGTTGTATCAACAAGTCCTCCACAGAAACAGTATGATTGTTTCCAGTGGGTAATACCATGGGATTTCTGATAATTCAATGGTGTCAGTGTTATAAAGTTATCAACTACTGTTACCAGGTTGGGAAAAGGCTAATACATAGATAACCTAATTAAAAAAAATTGCCTATTATACTCATTCACGGAAATTCCTAATACTTTTAGTACAGAAACACCTTTAATTCTGTTAGCAAATTTATTTAAAAAGGAATTAGTAAAAAAATATTCCATTTCAGCACAGTTAACAACATTGCTTTCTGTTGATATTCTGATTTTTTAATTGGACAATCCTCAACATACGACCGTTCATTTAGTGACTATTCAAAATTATGTTAGCACTGAAAAAAGCGAATAGTGACTGGTCATACAATCCTCGCATCATCACATGATCCAAATT